TAATCCCAACAAGAACAGTAACCAAGTGGTGCATTTGCATCGACTATCGAAAGCTTAATGATGCAACATGCAAGGATCAGTTTCCGCTACCATTTATCAACTAAATGCTTGAAATACTATCTAGTCATCTTTACTATTGTTTTTTTGATGGTTTCTTGGGGTACTTCCCAATTCCAATTGAACCACAAGACCAATAAAATACCACTTTTACTTGCCCAAGTGGGACATTTGCATATAGATGCAGGCCTTTTGGGTTATGCAATGCACCGACTACATTCAAAAGGCGCATGATGACAATCTTCCAGGGCATGATCAAGAAATTTATGGAGGTTTTCATGGATGACTTCTCAGTTTTGGGTCCCCTTTTGAGGATTGTTTATCCAACTGTAACAGCCCGAAATCTCAAAGTATTGTTAAATCACATTTTAGGGTGTCTTAAAGGGGGGGACTCGGCGAGTTGGAGCCTGACTCGCCGAGTAGGATCGCAGATCTGGTCGCGGGTTCGCGACTGGACTCGACGAGTCCAGTATGGACTCGGCGAGTCGACGCTGTTCGGTGGAAAACCCTAGCCGTTCAGTTTGGGACATATATAAGGGATCTTATGCCGTCATTGTTCGCCTTTTGGCCGACTGAGAAGGATCCTAAATCGGTTGTGGGCATCCAGAACAAGGATTGAAGATCATTGGTGATTTGAGGAAGTTATTGTCCAAGAAGGAGAAGGTTTTGGCTAATGGGACAGCAAGGGAATCACGTTTTGAGGCTTGGGGACACTGAGAGTGCATGATTCAGGTAACCTTTCGGATTATTTTCTGTTATGTGAATGTGTGCACGGATTTAGGGTTTGTGAAACCCATTTGGAGATTAGATGGATTGTTGTGTTGTTATCCAACATTTATAACCCTGTATTAGGACCCTTAGAGGTCCAGAAGGTCCCATGTTTGTATGTTCGGGAAAATATGTATCTCAGGAAGCAATTTGATCGACTGCATGGCGTGGACTCGCCGAGTCGGATGATCAGACTCGGGGAGTAGCTTGAAGATTCACTGGGACTCGCCGAGTTGTTCTTCAGACTCGGCGAGTGGAGTCGGGGTGGCCCCGCGATTCTTCCAGGAGTAACTCGTCGAGTCAAAGAGGATACTCGACGAGTAGAAGGGGAATCTTAGAGGATTGAAGGACGACCAGACTCACCGAGTCGCCAGGGAACTCGCCGAGTCCAGTCGAGTTGACAGTGGACTGTTGACCAGAGTTGACCGGTGTGATTTCTTAGGGTCAGTTAACGTGGAAGATAGATGTATTAATAAGAGATATATGATGTTACAGGGAGCTTGTAGCTCGGAGGATCAAGTGCAAGGGATTTCAGGAGTTGCTATCTTCTAGTGTCCGCGAGGTGAGTCTTCTCACTATACTGTACCCGGAAGGGTTTGATTGTGTGACCGGAAGGTCGAACATGTTATGCGTTATGTATTTATACTATAAATGGAAGTTAGTTGCTACGCGTGATATGCATGTTTATATGGGCCGGAAGTCAAAGTGTTATGTGACAGAAAGGTCAGGTATGATATGTGATATATGTGCTTTATGTGTTAGAGTAAATGTATTATGTGTTATATATGTTTATGGGCCGGAAGGCAATTATCTTATGGGCCGGAAGGCAATTATCTTATGGGCCGGAAGGCAATTATCTTATGGGCCGGAAGGCAAATATCTTATGGGCCGGAAGGCGATTATCTCATGGGCCGGAAGGCTTTGTGCAGTGGACCGGAAGGTCAGGGCCTGGAAAGGCGTATGTGCGTAAGGTGTATATTGGGGAACTCACTAAGCTTCGTGCTTACAGTGTTGTATGTATGTTGTTTCAGGTTCTTCAGTAACGCGGGATGGCACCGGCTCGATTGTACACACCAAAGAAAGAGTTGAATTCTGGAGGATCCTGGTTTTCTTCTAAGTGAAAATGGAACTATGTTTTTGTAATTCAAATGTGTATGAGATTTTAAACAAGTGTTTTAATAGTAATTTGATTAAATAAAAAATGAAAATTTTACCTTGAAATTCACGGTGTTACACCAACATTGACCTAATGTTAGAAAGATGTGAGAAGACAAACCTAGTCCTAAATTGGGAAAATTGTCACTTCATGGTAAAGGAAGGGTTTGTGTTAGGACACAAAGTCTCAAGGTTGGGGATAGAGGTAGATAGAGAAAAAGTTGAGACGATAGCTAATTTACCACCCCCGACAAATGTAAAAGCGGTGAGGAGCTTTCTAGGCCATGCAGGATTTTATCACCGTTTCATTAAATACTTTTTGAAGATCACGAGGCCTCTGACTCAACTTATTTTGAAGGATGCCCCATTTGAATTTTCTAAGGAATATCATGAAGCATTTCAATTGTTAAAGGAAAAGTTGACCACCACGCCTATTATGATAGCCCCAAATTGGAGCCCTCCTTTTGAGCATATGTGTGATGCTAGTGACTATGCGGTGCGGTGGGAGCTGTTTTGGCCAGCGAATTGACAAACTTTTTCAACCTATCTACTATGCTAGCAAAACCTCAAACCCAACTCAAGAAAACTACATTACTATCGAAAAGGAGCTGCATGCGGTGGTTTATGCTTTTGATAAATTCCACCCATATCTCGTTTTGTCAAAGACAATTGTATTTACCGATCATTATGCTCTTAAGTATCTATTTGCTAAACAAGATGCTAAACCAATATTAATACGTTGGGTATTAATTTTACAAGAATTTGACATTGACATTAGAGAAAAAAAAGGGAATGGAAAACGTATCACCTGATCACTTATCGCGACGAGAGAACCCACACTTGGAAGATTTAGAAGAAAACAAGATTGGAGATGATTTTCCCGAAGAGTATCTTATGGTTATAGCAGGATAAATACCTTTGTATGTAGACTTAGCTAATTACTTAGCAAGTGACTATATTCCAAAAGATTTGGTGAGACAACCAAAGAAGATATTCTTTTTTGAAATCAAGTATTACTTTTGGGATGAGTCATACCTCCTTTCAAGTTGCACGGACAGTATGATAAGAAGATGTGTATTCGGGAAGAAGAGTCGAGAAATCTTGAAACATTTCCATAACGGGCCCAACGGAGGACATCATGGAGCACAATATACGGCTAAAAAGGTTTTTGATATGGGTTTTTATTGGCCTACAATCTTTAAAGATGCCGCTCAATATGTAAATGAGTGTGACTCATGCCAAAAGTCGGGAAATATTTCATATCGAAACGAGATGCCCCAAAATAGCATTCAAGTTTGTGAGGTATTTGATATATGGGGGATTGACTTTATGGGACGCTTCCCAATGTCCAAAGGAAATAAATATATATTTGTGACGCTATATTATGTATCTAAATGGGCGGAAGCACAAGAATTACCTTCTAATGATGCTCGTATGGTGGTGCGCTTCCTTAAGAAGTTGTTTTCAAGATTTGATGTTCTTAAGGCTCTAATTAGTGACTGGGGAACCCACTTTGCAAATGATCAATTGGCTAAGGTGTTACAAAAATATAGTGTACACCATATATTTTAAAGATCATACCATCCACAAACAAGTTTGCAAGCTGAAGTTACAAACCGGGGATTAAAACAAATATTTGAGCGATCGGTTGGAAGTAATAAAAAAGAGTGGTCGGACAAGCTTGATGACACACTTTGGGCATTTCGAACGGCTTTTAAAACACCTATTGGTACTACACCATTTAGGTTGTTTACGGAAAGAATTGCCACTTGCCGGTTAAAATCGAGCATAAAGCGTTTTGGTTTTTGAAGCTATGTAATTTTGAACTCACTGAACTTCGTACCAACCGATTGATGCAAATGAATGACCTTGAAAAACTTAGAAATGAAGCATACACTAGCTCTTAATATATAGAGACAAGACTAAGAAATGGCATGACATTAGATTAAAAGGCCATAAGGATTTTCACAAAGGACAAAAGGTGTTACTCTTCAATTCAAGGTTAAAGCTTTTCCCAAGAAAATTACAAAATAGGTGGGACGGGTTGTTTGTTGTTAAAAAACTTTTCCCACACGGAGCTATTGAGCTTATATCAAGAGACGAAACCCCTTTCAAATTTAACGGGTATAGAGTGAAACACTATGAAGAAGGAATGCCAAATGAATAAAAAGAAGGGATATCGTAAAATGCACACGAGCTGAAACAAATTGAAGCGAGAAGGAGTCCGACTTATGACTCCCCAAAAAGAAGCGCTTGAGGCGACCTGTGGTTTTGAGTTTGCATTTTTCTTTCGTTTTCTTTTAGTTAATTTTCTTTTATTTATTTTTGCTGAATGCTTTATACTCTCATTTTTCTACATTTCTATGGAATTCAACATGGGGAATGGAATAAAACGAGTGTGGGGTGGATGATTTTTATAAGATTTTGACCAATTTGGAAGTTTTTCTAAAAAAACATCACCACGAGGTGGTGAAAACCACCACGAGGCGGTGAATTTACAAAACCCATTAAACTTTTTCTCTGGGCGATACCACGACGTGGTGTCAGTTTAACTACAGTCAAATTAGGGTTTTTAAACCCCAGTGAAAACATATGTTTACTTTTACTCCACCTCTCTCTCGACGTGTTCCTTTTTCCCACGAAGAATATCCCTTTTATTCTACTCGATTTCTTGCGTTTTTTCAACCAAAAGGTATGATTTTTGTGTGATTCCCATAATCTTAATTGCTTATTATGCTAGTATAGAGTATACATTTTCCGATTAGAACACTTTTAGGCCCGAAATAAAGAACCTAGAATTTTGATTTTTGCAAAAATCGGACCCGATTAATGATGTTTTTCATTTGATTTTGTTATCTTTGTACTTCAATCATGTCTAGAACAAACCCTGAAGTTGTATTGAGTTGGTATGGTGTGGATTATGGTCGCATTAAACCATAGAACTCGACAGTACATCGACCACGACGACTCTTTGTGGTGAAGTATTTTAAGCCTAATGCTATTTTGTTCTGATTCCATTCATGCACATGGTTTCCTCTTGTGCTGTTTTTGGTTACTTTGCAGAAATGGCTAGCTGTGCACGACATCAACAACTCGGGAGTCGCCCCAATTTTCTGTGGTATTCTTTTCCTAGGACTGTTGGGCCGGAGATATACGCAAGACGGAACGCAAAACTTGACTGGATGAAGCAACAAAAAGTTCATGTTCCTGAGGTTATGGACTGGCACTAGATTCGACAAACCCGATTAATGGAGGGAATTGAGCCATACTTGGACAAAGCATTCAATAACATTCATGGGCAATTTGTTTGTATGGGATGGAGACGACTATTTGAAATTTAGGAAGTCGTGTCGAAGGAGTTAGTCATCGAGTTTCTGGCCAGATTTTCTTTTGCACGGAAGGACGAATTTTTTTAACACAACCTTTATTTTTACCTTGGTGGAGAAAGACGTACCTTAAGCCTTGGTGAATTTGAGCTAAGGACGCTGATTTATCTTCAACGTGAGGTCCATTCCGAAGCCTATCAACAATATATTGATGGATGTGTTCGGATTACCGAGGGGTTCAAAGCGGAAGCACATTGGAATGAAACAGAAAATGGTGCTTACGATAAGGGGAATGTGTAAGAGAGTGACATTCACTCTCCTCTTCATCACTTGTTGCATCACCTTATCACAAACACCATTAATTAGAGATAGGAGGGTGACAAGTTTCTGACGGTAGACGTGTTTTTCTTATGGGCTCTTATCTCCGCCAATGTTTATCTGGACTTACCATTCCTATTAGCAGATTTTCTTGTGGCCCGAGTAGGAAAGGCTAGGCGAGGTTCTCCTCTTTACGGGGGTATGTTGATAACATGGCTTCCACATTCTTTTAGAGTCGTTGATATGCGTGAGGCCGTGTTTTTGACTGTGGAACCCTAGAAGCATTTCTCCACACTACTTTATAAGAGGGAAAATATCATTGTTGATCATGGGATGGGTGCTTTTTCTATTCCCGACGATACTCCATCAGGTCGAGTCCCGAGGTGGGTAAGACAAAGAAGGGATCCTGAAGAAGATGAACCAGCAGTTGCACCAACCGATGAGGAGCTGCCCATGGATCCCTATAGAATTTCAAGGAGGAGGTTTGATGATAACTTGGAAAGGAGTGCCAACTACACCAACATGAGCCTAGACCATCTTATAGAGAAAATGCATGTAACCCGGCCCGCTCATGTTCCTCCGGCTTACCCATACATGTCGAGTTGGGAGGAATTATGGAGAGAGCAACGTGGTGGAGCGGGCGGTAGTGGAGGAGGAGGTGATGATGGAGATGATGAAGAATAAGAGTTCTATTGTAACGACGGGATTTTCAAAACAAAATTTTCATTTTTCAACAACCATATTTTAAATATAAAACATTCTTGAAAATTGTTTCACAATAGTTGTTAATCAAACATGTTCACAAGATCATAAATCAAATCTCCTCTCGGTGTGTACGGTTCGTGTCGTCACCTTCCTACGGTCCTCGCTAGTACCTGAAACACATAGCACAACAATTGTAAGCATAAATGCTTAGTAAGTTCCCCAAGATACTACATATAACACATACGCCACTCGAGGCTACTATACGATCCTCCAGTCGATGTGTCTTAGCGGGACCCTCCAGTCCCGTAGTTCGTTGGACCCTCTGGTCCGGTCATAGCTTGTTGCGCCCTCTGGCCCGGTCTGAATCGTTGGACCATCCCGTCCGGTCTATACAATTATATATCATACATACATCACATATCACATAATCTCACACATGGCACACAATCTCATACATAGCACATAAGACCTTCCGGTCAACTCATAATACCACTCAAGGTATCGTATAGTGAGACGACTCACCTCGTGTAGCTCGATAACTAGGAATCTCGGTCTCCGTAAAATAGGATCTAGCCTCCACCTAATCATACGAAATAAACACTCGGTATCAACACAATTTCCAAGACTAGACCATTCCCTTCCTTAGCACTCTTAGGAGGGTAAAAGACCATTTTATCCCTCTCTTAACTCAAAGATCCCATTGTTGACCAACCCTAAAAGTCAACAAAGTCAACGGTCAAACTTTAACCCTACTGGTCGAGTGCACTTGGGCGAATCGACGAGTCTACACATGTTCACTATCTTTCTAGCCTCTCATGACACGTTGAGCCTTTCCCCTGCTCGACGGGTTACACCTGGCATGAATCGCGGGGCCACCCTGACTCAACTCGTCGAGTTCAATTATGAACTCGGCAAGTTCCACCTTCTATCCTCTACACCCTTCCGACTCACTGAGTCATTCCCCAAACTCGACAAGTTACTCACTAAGTGACTTACGGGGAACCCTAGCCCTACTCACCGAGTCTGTTCTTGGGACTCAGCGAGTTCATACCATGCTTATTCAGAAATGACCTCCTGAGGTCAAATCTGTTCCTCTAACCCATAGATCTACCCTCCTTGATCATAATAAAAACGTAAAGTTTGGATCTTGATGCCCATGCAAAGACCCTATGACTCTATGTGATGAAATGGCCTCAACATGCCATCCAAAATTAATATGTCTCAACGAAACTCAATAAAGATCAAGGATTAAAGGTCTCTGGACCTCTTTGGATCCAGATTCGAAGCCTCAATATAAGAAGGGACCATTTGCTTCACAAATCATACTCTGAAAGGGACTAGAAACCCTAACTCTCAAAACTTGCACCAAAACTAAAAGAGGATCGAACATTTACCTCAAGATGAAGTCCCTAAGCTCTAAAATCCATAGATTAGCACCCTCTTCAGTTTCCTCTTTCCTTGGAAACCTTCTTCTTGCAAAAACACCCACACAAAGATCAAAAATGGCTTCCTCTCTCTCTCTAAACAATCACACACTCTAGGGTTTCTCTCTATCAACTGGTAGGCGCAAATGAAGTCCATAAGGGCCTTTAAATAGGTCTCAAACCCCGGGGATTAGGGTTTCATTAAATAGTGTGGACTCGCCGAGTCCACGAATGGACTCGTCGAGTCTGCCATTAAATCAGTATGACCATCCGCACTCGTACTCGGCGAGTCTGAGCGCCTACTCGCCGAGTCTCTCTAAAAAAAACTCAATATTAAAGCATAAGTAAGATACCTAGGAGTCCGGATGTTATAATTCTCCACCACTAGAATCAGACTTCGCCCTCGAATTCTCATTCCGCAAACAACTCGGGATGCTGCTCACGCATCTCATGCTCCGGTTCCCAAGTCAGCTCGGACCCCCTCCGATGTCGCCACTGGACCTGTACCAGGGGCACTTCTTTGTTCCTCAGAACCTTGATCTTCCGATCCAAGATCGTGATCGGCTTTTCCGCATAATTCAGACGCGCATCCACCTGGATATCCTCTAATGGTACTACTGCCGACTCGTCGGCTATACACTTCCTTAGCTGCGATACGTGGAAGGTATCATGAATCTGGTCCAACTCCACAGGTAACTCCAAATGATATTCTACTCTACCCACCCTCGCGATCACCCTAAACAACCTAATATATCGTGGCCCCAGCTTGCCCATCTTCCTGAAACAGATCACTCCTTTCCAAGGAGACATCTTCAGGAGCACAAAATCCTCGACTTGAAACTTGAGCTCCGACCGAAGCCTATCTGCGTAACTCTTCTGGGGACTCTAAGCGGTCAAGAACCTCTGTCTGACCTGCTGAATCTGCTCTGTCGTCTGAAGCACTATCTCTGTACTACCCATCACACGTTGCCCTACCTCACCCCAACAAATGGGAATCCGACACCTCCTTCCATACAAAAGCGCAAAGGATGGAATACCAAAATGATGGCTGTTGTTATAAGAAAACTCGGCCAAGGGCAAATACGTGTCCCACCTCCTACCGAAATCCAGCACACATGCCTGAAGCGTCTCCTCAAGCGTCAGAATCGTCCGCTCGCTCTGTTCGTCAGTCTGTGGGTGGTATGCGGTACTAAAATGTAGCCTCGTACCCAATTCCTCATGAAATTTCTTCCAGAACCTAGAAGTGAAATGTACATCTCGATATGAAACAATTGAGACTGGTACTCCATGTCGTGATACCACCTCTCTCACGTACAACTCTGCCAGCTTCTCCGCAGAAGAGCTCTCACTAATAGCAAGGAAGTGAGTGCTCTTCATCAACCTATCCACAATCACCCAAATTGCATCGACACCCCTCGCAATCCTTGGAAATTTGGTGATGAAATCCATGGTAATGTGTTCCCACTTCCACTAGGAAATATCTAATGGTTGCAGCTTACCATGCGGACACTGGTGCTCGGCCTTAACCCTGCGATAGGTCAAGCATCTCTCTACAAACCACGCGACATCCCTCTTCATACAGAGCCACCAATATTCTCTCTTTAGGTCCAAATACATCTTAGTGGCCCCGGGATGGATTGAGAACCTCGATTGATGCGCCTCCTCCATCAAAATGGTATGCGTTCCGCCCACAAACGGTACCCAAATCCGACCCTGAAATGTCATAAGCACCTGACTATCGGTAACGAACTCCGATACTTGCCCGATAACCCTTTCTCTCTTAGGATTCTATGGTCTCACGGCCTCATCCTGGGCCCCACAAATGGTGTCCAACACCGGAGTCATCACTGTCAATCTCAAGCAAACCTCTCGCATCGGGGCACCCTCCGCCCTACGGCTCAGGGCATCGGCTACAACATTAGCCTTTCCCGGATGGTACAGGATCTCGCAGTCGTAATCCTTTACCACGTCCAACTGTTTCCTCTGGCACATATTCAAGTTGGGCTGATCCATCAAGTACTTCAGACTCTTGTGGTCCGTGTATATAGTACACCGAACCCCGTACAGATAGTGACGCCAGATCTTGAGGGCGAACACCACTGCCCCCAATTCCAGATCGTGGTTAGGATACCTCAACACATGAGGTTTCAGCTGCCTCGATGCATATGCTATCACATGCCCCCTCTACATAAGCAATGCTCCCAACCCTGATATCGATGCATCACAGTACACCACAAAATCCTCCATCCCTTCTGGGACTGCGAGCACCGGAGCTTCACACAGTCTCTGGCGAAGTGTCTAAAGTGAGGTCTGCTACTCTGGACCCCACGAAAAAGCAACACCCATCCGGGTCAATTTGGTGAGTGGCACGGCGATCTTAGAGAAATCCCTAATAAATCTCCGATAATAACCAGCCAACCCAAGGAAACTCCTGATCTCGGTAGGTGACCTCGGCACATCCCAACTCATCACCGCCTCGATCTTGGCCAGATCGACCAATATCCCTTTATGGTTAATGAGGTGCCCAAGGAACTGGACCTCTCGTAACCAGAAATCACACATGGAGAATTTGGCATAGAGCCTCTCTGATCTCAAAACTCTGAGGATCTCTCTCAAATGATCCTCATGCTGCTCTCTGGATCTCGAATACACCAATATGTCGTCGATGAGCACGATCACCAAGCGATCTGACATCGACCTGCACACCCTGTTAATGGGGTCCATGAACACCACCGGTGCATTGGTGAGCCCGAAAGGCATCACCACGAACTCGTACTTCCCGTAACGACTCCTAAACGCTGTCTTCTGGATATCCTTATCTCGCATCTTCACCTGATGATATCCAGACCTCAAATCGATCTTGGAAAACCAAGATGCTCCCTGCAACTGATCAAACAGATCGTCAATACTCGGTAACGGATAACTGTTCTTGACCGTCAACTTGTTCAACTCCCGGTAATCAATACACATCATGTGTGAACCATCCTTCTTCTTGACAAAAAGGATCGGTGCTCCCCAAGGTGAGCTACTTGGTCTGATGAACCCCTTTCCCAGCAGCTCCTGAAGCTGCAAGGATAACTCCAGCATCTCGGGCGGCGCAAGGCGATTGGGTGTCTTGGCAATAGGTGCCGCTCATGGAACAAAGTCGATACAAAACTCCACCTACCTCTCGGGAGGTACACCCGACAACTCCTCGGGGAAAACATCAGGGAACTCCCGCACAATCGCGACCTCATAAATCGAACTTAGCCTCCCAGCAGCCACTCGCGTGTCCATCACATAAGCCACAAATCCCCTACAACACTGCTGCAAACTCTACCTCGCCCTAGCAGCTGAACAAAATGATGACTCTGGATGGGTACCCTCCGTACACAGTAAGTACTCCCCCACTAGGGTCTCAAATCGTCACCAACTGATGCTCGAAGTCTATAATAGCTCCAAATTGGCTCAACCAATCCATGCCCACTATGACACATACGTCCCCCATCGCAATCGGGACTAGATCGATCGGGAACCCCACACCAAAGATCTTAAGTCTACATCCTCGTTAGCTAT